ACTGGGCTTATGATGAGAAACAGGAGTTGCCCCTTCCATTTCTTCTCACCCGTTCCCCTCTTCTTTGATGCAACGCCAGTCTACTCTTTTGATTATTTTCTTTAAGTCCCATTTCTTTATTTTTCATTTTTAGAAAATGAAACATAAAAAAGCTCATATCCTAAAATAGAAGATGGGAATTAGCCCCCCTTAGAAACCTTGCCTCCCCCCGCCCCCACATACACAAAACACTTTTTAAAAATTCCATCATTCCAGTATAGTTATATCTATGTTTTCAATTAAGTCAATATTCCATGTTGACAGTATCATAATTATGATTATGGAATTATTAGTCAGAGTTGAGTCATGTATATATATATATATTTTTCTATAAAGCGTCACTTAATCCCCAAAATTTTGCCAAACTGTAATAACATCTCCCAGTACATTCAAACACCTTACACCTTCTTTTTGACAACATCCCTCCAAGAGTCCTCTATCATCCTGCTCCACCTAGACAGGTTCCTGCCTGGGCTGGCTGAGCACCTGTTGCCTTGGAACTTTCTTCCCTGTCATCTTGGGTGTTTCTTTCTTCTGCTTCCTGTCTTGGGTGTCCCTGTATCCTGGTTACCATGTCTTCCTTTCTTTGGTTTATCCCCTTGTTTTGGTACAGCACATCTTCCAGTAGCTTCCTGAGAAAATCTTAAGACATTTCATAATATTTTTAGGAGAGAGAATTCACAAACTTGATGATTGATTGGACATAGAGCAATGAGAGAAGAAGGAATAAGAAATGAACCCCAAGCTTTTGTATGAGACATCTAAATGGCTGAGTGTACAGGGATTGGAGTAGGTTTGAGAGAAGAGCAAATCCACCAAATACACTGATTTGCCAGGGATATCTGGGTGCAGCAGCTAGCAGATATCTATCTGAATTTCAGGAAAGCTGTCAGCAGTGAAGATCCTGACATCTTACCTGAAATGGAAATGGTAGTTATCCATCTAGATGCAGTTGTTAAACTATGAGAGTAAATGAGATTGGTTGGGAAAAGGACATAGAACAAGGGCAAGAATGTGCAAAGGATAATCAATTACATATGAATGTTTAAAGGGTAAGCCAGGGCCAGGGAAAGAATCCATGAAGAAATCTGAGAAGAAACCTCAGAGAGGTGGGAGGACCAGGAAAAATTAGAGCCAATGGACAAAACAGAGACAGGTTATAAGAATGTGTAATGTATAACAGAATTTAAAGAAGAAGTGGGCTTATTAAAAATAATACAATACGGCCGAGTGCAGTGACTCACACCTGTAATCCCAGCACTTTGGGAGGTCAAGGCTGGCGGATCACAAGGTCGGGAGTTCGAGACCAGCCTGGCCAACATGGTGAAACCCTGCCTTTACTAAAAATACAAAAATTAGCCAGGCATGGTGGCACACGCTTGTAATCCCAGCTACTCAGGAGGCTGAGGCAGGAGAATCACTTGAACTCAGGAGTCAGAAGTCTCAGTGAGCCAAGATCATGCCATTGCATTCTAGCCTGGACCACAGAGCAAGACTGTCTCAATAATAATAATAATACAATACAGATGGCAAAAGGATAAATGCATAGAAGTGTTTCCTGAAATATTGTTTAGAATAGTAAAAACTGGAAACAAACTTTTAACATTCATCCTCTGGAGAACTTGTAATATAAATAATGCTATGGACTCATTAGAGCACAATGCCCCTATCAAAAGTTACACAGGTTTATGCTTATGCTTATTGACATTTATATTTATTGTTTAGGAAAAGCAATGGAAGTTACTGCAAGAAATGAGTATTATATGATGCAATTTATGTAAATCTCTATGCACAGAGCCATCTGCTTGTGCATGTATGCATAGACTAGAGAGATGTTTGGAAGAATGTTCACCAAAGTGTTAATGGTGATTATCTTTGGAAGAGGAGATTTGGGTATGTTTTACTTGCTTCTTTGCATTTTAAGTATTGTTTAAATTTGTTACAATAATTATGTAATAAAAAAGAGCTATTTTTAAAGGATAAATGTTAATGATGTTAAATACTGCAGAGATTGAGTAGTTAAATGCTGTGAAGTGGGAACAGAAGAGAATTTTGAAGGAGCTGAGGAGTGAATGGGATATGAAGATAACAAAATGCCAAAGATCTTTCTAGAAGCATGAGATGGGAGCGTGAGAGATAGAGTGATGGGTGGAGGATTAGACAACGCCTTTATTCCTTCATTTTTCCCTTTCTCCTCTTTTAATTCATTCCGAACACTATTGCCAGATAAATTCCCCAAATATCCCATTATCTTGTCCCTCCCATGCGGGACTCCAGAGGCTCCCACCCAAGGAAGCTGAAATTGCCCAGGTGCCTTTCAGAGGCCTCAATAATCTGAATTCACTCACTATTCCCTATATTAACTTGCTTTTTCATTCAAACCAATTTTCCTTTAAAAATTTAAACATATGTTTACTGAGCATGTACTACAGGCCAGGCACCCTTAAAATCACTAGGTAGATAAGGACATGGTCTCTGCCATCATTGTAGTCATAAAGCAGTGAGGATGCCAGACTTACATACAGCTAGTATGAGTATAGAGTAATAGGGGCTGTAACTGACCTATGTGCCAATTGTTTACCCATCCATATGGACAATAGAGATAGACGATATCTGCACCTGCTGTTACTTCTGCACTTCATCTCATCACCTCTTCATTCTTTTTGAACGCCTAAATCCTCCTAATCTTTCATATCATAGATCAAGTCTAAACTTGATAGCTTTCTTCTTATGACCTGCATGACACTTACTTTTTTATTATTCCTCTAGGTGTTTGATTGTATAATACCTTCCAATGATAGTGAACTACTTATAAGTATGAACTACCCCTTCACCAAGATGAGATAACCATGAGCTTTGAAAGCTGTCACATTACCTAGCACAGGGTTAAACAGGTAGCAAGTATGATTAAATGCCTGCTGAAATTTATCAGGAAACTTCCCTCCCAATCTATCTAATATTTCTAAATAAAATAAAAAAACTTCAAAGGTGGTATATTTGAAAGCAGTGTAATACAATTTGAACAGTGAAAAGGACTACTTTAGACAGAGGAAACAGCTGTGCAAAGACAAAAAGGTACAAACATTTCAATTCTGAGGGTTGGGGGAGTGCAGGTGACAAGACAGAGGTGGTTGCTAAGACTTCAGATGGACGGAATGTTTAAATGATGAGAACAATTTAGAGAAAAAAATAGATGATAGAACCCAATCAAGATAGCATATGCAATAAATAAAATCCAAACTTAGTCATTATGCAAGACAGGGAATGAAAGGTCAATTATTATTCAAGACTATAAAAGCACAAGTATGTTCTAAGTATGAGGTGACATTATGAGCCTGCAGTTTAAGAGACTATTGCAATAATAAGTATGTAAACAGAATTATGACCTTGCAAAGGCTGGGAAATCATCTTTGTACTGTAGGTGATACAAGTGACGTCTTTACTAGGAAGTCACATCTAATTTTTCATCTTAACATTTAAAAAGGAATGTGTGAACATCACAGAGCCCTGTTTCCCAAATTTCACTCCACTGAACATTAGGTCAGGAGGATGTTAATGGATATTCCATTTTTAACATGGTCTAATGAAACTAGGAAATATTGTTTTAGAAGATCCTGAAATCTTTTGATTAAAATGATGTGAAGAGCCTATGAATAGAGTTTAGAAGAGAAGGGACTTTTTTCAGAAGTAAAATAAAACTGAGGGGAGGACAAGTGGCTGTAATAAGTAGTAGGAGGGTTATTACAAGCTGGGTACATTGAAGCTGCTTTTATCTCTGTAAAGTCGGAAATGGACATATTGCAGCAAGAGAAAGATGGGTTAGAAATGGACTGCCTGGCGAGGGTGTGAGAGGGAAATATTAAATTATTATTGCAAGAGAGCATATCATCTTCAACTTTGCACAAATGATAGGAAAGACAGAGAACCATTTAAGGATGATTTATGTGTCCCACTGCCTGGAGCTGCCAGGCAGGTGACCCTTTGAATTTATTTCTCACTCTAGAATTCCATGACTCTAGTACTGTGGACCCTAAGATGAGGGATATGACCATAAGAACGTCTAGTTCCAGCTCCACTTCTGTCACTGACCTACTGAACCACCTATAAAATGATTATCATGATTTCTCATAGTATCCTGCAGGAATTTCCCTAGGATTAATTACACAATGAGCTTCATAGAGAAAGACACCAAAAATACTTACAAGAATAGGTCAAATCATATGAAATTGCTGGTATTTGATTATTTGTGACCTATAAAAATGGCAATTTCACATGATCTAACCTAATAAAATTCATCATTCCTCGAGCCTGCTATGTGACAGGGATGGGCTGGTTTGGGGATTTGAAGATGATAAAGACATGGTACCTGCCTTCAGGGAGCTCTCAGACCAGTGAGGGAAACAGGCACTTGAGGAAAACACTGAAGTGCATTTGGACAAGGGCCACAGTGGAGGTGCCACAAGACGCTGTGGATAAAAAAGGAAGCCAGCTATTCTCCTGGGCCAGGAGAGCAAGGCCAGAAAGAGGCAAGCAAAGGGTGGCTTTGGAGGGGTTGGGACATTCATTTATGCTGGATTTTGAAGGTTGAGTAATTTACTAAGTGGGAAGGACCATTCTAAATAGAGGAAACACCTGTGCAAAGACGAAGAAGTATGAAAAAACCTCTCTGGAGGAAAAAAATCATGTAAATATTAAATAATATTAAGATGAGGAGACATTAATTGAACCCTCTGTAACTCCTGTTAGAATGTCCTTTTATTTAATATTACTTCGTTTGTATTTATCATAGGTTGTCCTTGCTTAACAGAGCTTGTGCAAGTTTTTCTGAATAGCTGCAGCACAGAATACTTTTCAGCAGGAAAAAGAGACGAGGCTGGACACATTGCTGGCAGCCAGGTTGAGAAAAGCCCTGTGTTCAGCAACAAGGAGAAGAGCCTCCATTCAGTGGGTGCTGGGGAGGCACTACAGAGTTTTAGGTAGAGTGGCAACATGATCAGATTTGCATTTTGGAAAAGAAAGTCCATAGTGGTGGTGGTTTTATGGAGGAAGGACCAAATCTGGTGCCAGCAGAGGCAAGGGCAGGAGCTGGGGAGCAGTGAAGGGGAGAGAATCCTGGCAAGCAGCGACGTTTAAGGGACAAGAGCAGTTTAGGAGGCAGAAGGAGAACTGAAGACAGTCCAGGGAGAAAGTGGCTTCAAGAAACTGAAATAAGTTCAGCAAGATAAAAACTCAACACTATCCCTGGGATCTGGAACTTGCTCATTGGTGAGAGCAAGAGCAGTTCCTGTGGCATGGACAGAAGTTAGATTTCTGTGGATCAAAGAACAAATGGGAGGTAAGGAGCTGCCAGCAATGAATATGGAAGTAATTTTAAAGGTTAGCTGGAAAGGAAAGAGGAGAGATGGGATGGTTAGAGGGAGTTGTGGAATAGAAGGGAGCCACGGTTGTCTTTTTTGTTTGTTTTGGAGGAGTAGAGAGTCTTGAGCAAGTGTGAAGTGGAGGGAGAGAAGCCAGGGGAAAGGGAGGGAGCAGGCTAGAGGGCATGGAGAGGGAAGGAGGCAATGATTTCAAATGCCCAGCGAGGTTCCTTTTTCCAGAGCAGGGGGAAATAGGCAGGCCTGGATGCAGCTGTAGATAAGTTTGATGGTGAGGCTGAGAAGAGAAAGATTGAACATGTCTTGACTTCCTCTTTTCTGTGGGATGGGAGGCAAGGTGGAGAGTAGATGGATTGGGTCAGGGTGGAATAGGGCAGCTTCCCAGGAGCACTGGGGATGTGGAATGGCTGCCGAGAGGTGACCAGAGCAAGGCAAGACTTGCCAAGCAGCACTGCAAGCTCAGCAGAAGCTGGAAACCACCAACTGTGGGGACTGTAATTTAGATGTTTGTATTATTTTTCTCCAAGCAGTGTTCAGCAGCATGGATGCAGGAGATTAGAAGGGCGAATTTGGGGAAGGGTCTCTTGATGTGGTAGGTGTAGTGAGAGTTAGGGTTACTGAGAGGGAACGGTTAAATAGACAAGCCATCATAGTATGATTCTGGGTATGTAGGAGAGGCAGTGGAACCCCCCAGAGAACTGATTGGCCTGGGAATGATGGATGGGTTCAGGATACATGAGACAGAGATCTTGGCTGGGCGCCATGGTTCACACCTATAATCCCAGAACTTTGGGAGGCCAAGATGGGTGGATCCCTTGAGTCCAGGAGTTCGAAGCCAGCCTGAGCAATGTGGTGAAACTCTGTCTGTACAAAAAGTACAAAAATTAGCCAGGTGTGGTGTGTGCCTGTAGTCCCAGCTACTTGGGAGGCTGAGGCGGGAGGATCACCTGAACCCAGGAGGTGGAAGTTGCAGTGAGCTGAGATCATACCACTGTACTCCAGCTTGGGTAACAGAGTGAGATCCTGTCTCAAAAAAAAAAAAAAAAAAAAGAAGGCAGAGATCTTATGAGGTCTCATGGGCTCCTCATGGGCTCCACAGGCAAGTGCAGTGAGAGCAGAGACAGGGTGTTAACCACAAAAGGGGATACGTTTGGGGTGTGGCTGATCAGAGTTCAAGGTCTCCGTGATGGAGTTGTTTTGGGGTCATAAACAGGATCCCAGTGTGGCCGGAAGAGTGGGCTGCTCCAGTGGGGCCTAGATGAAGGTGAATGGAGCAGAGTAGATTAAGAAACTTTCAAGTAAGAGTGAGAGATGGGTATTCCACAAAAATGCTTCCTTGCTTGGGACAGCAGGAGAGTTCGAGTAGGTAGAGATTATGAATCAGGTGCCAAAATGTCCCTTAGAAAAATATACTTGTGAAGTTCAGTTTCTCTTTGGGCATAATGTTCAGCCAATTGGTTTCATGTGCCATCATCTCCTACTGTGGTATTTATTTTCTTTCTCTTTTTTGCAGTAGGATTTGGGAAGACTCCTCTTTGATAAGGCAGGCTATGGCTTGCTTTCCTCTCTGTCTCAGCCTCCCTCTGGTTTCTCCATCATTTGCTGCCTTCCAAAGCTGGTGGATGGTTCATTAACTGCCTTCTGTTCTTGCCAATCATTTACCTGCCCAAGTAGCTGATTTCAATAGTCATAGAAATTTCCTTCTCCATATGAGTGGACATTTCAGACCCCAGATCCTGTTGCTTTTTTCTCAGCATCCTTAACTTCCCTGAGTCCCGAGGTTTCTAAGTCATTCTGCCCCCACACGCCAGGAAGTTATTTGTTTGCCAACCCATTCTCTTTTGCCAAAGCTGTTTGACAAGTTCAACATGAACAGCTTGAAATTGATTTGTAATCAATATAATGTATTAAACTCTTAACTCACAGAGGAACAGTGCAGTTTTCCACAGTATATGTTTTAGAGGTGGTAATATTCAGAACATCAAGCTTTAGGATTTTCCTGTGGACAAGTGCTGAATAACTACTTTAGCTCCACCATCAGTCACAGCCCGCCCCACAGTGGGAACCACAGAGCTATATCAAGTTAAAAGTTCTGGAGACTCTAGTCTGGGATCATGAAAACACAGTTTAGCTTCCTTTTGTGTTACTAATGCAGGGCCTCTTTCTGGGTTTCACAATGCCCCCCTCTGAAGTGAGTCAGCATTTCTGTGTTTGCTTAACTTCTAAGGTTACTGAAGCACTGAGGGGGACATAGTTGGTCCAAAGTCACGCTGCAGGGATCATGGCAGGTTAAAATCAGACCAAGAACTTGTTTCCACTAGGCAGGACTCCTTGAACCGTGCCACATCTACTGGAAGCAGTTATGTTGATACAAGCCCTGCACTTCTGTCTTTAAATAGTCCACTGGCAACTGTGATTCTAAGTCCCTATGTGGAATTAGTTCAGGCCCTTGTATGAAGTTCAGACTGGTTTGAAGGGATTCTGACAGTTTCTGCCAAATACAATACTTAGATCTAGGAGTGAGAAAAACGATGCAAGATGTCAGGGATATAAAGTGGAGACGAAGTCTGCTCTGTGCCTGTGCTTTCCAACTGGCAGTCATACCGCACACTCTGCTTTCCCTCTGGAAAATTCGTCTAAGTCCAATATCATTTTTCCCTTGAAACAATGAGATTGGATATCCGAGATGCAAGTAGATCCATGTGCGCTGGTATTGTTAATCTCCAGAAACTCTCCATGTTCCAGTGTGCCAGGATACAGAGCCAGGGAGGAAGGGTGGTTTCGGATTAATAGCATTCTAAATCTATCGTACATTTTCTTAGCTTCTTTTCCTTAAACATAATTTCAAAGAGACAGAAATCCAAAATAGTGGATGTGGTCTTTTGTTGCTTACAGCATGTCACTTTTCTACATGTAAAAAATTGTAGTCCACTGTCACTAATAATTAATCATAAAATTATCCATAGCCATCATAAACAGCAAACTCACAGTGAATGGCCTTGGTTAGCAACTTAGGATCTTAGAACTGAAAGGGAATTTAGAAATAATCTGGACCAACCTCCTACTCAATTTGTGCTGCAGCATCCCTGATGAGATATCTAAGTCAGCGGTTCTCAAACTTTGCTGAATATCAGAATCACGTGGGGGAGATTTTAAAGATCTTAACGCCAGGGCTCCACCTCACATCATCTAAGTAAGAATTTCTGGGGGTAAGACCAAGGCATCAGACTTTCTTAAAACTGCCCAGGAGATTATAATGTGCAGCTGAGTCCTGACCAGTGCCCTTGCTTCTGCTCGGCTGTGCTCTGTGGTGAAGTCCTGCTTTGTGGGGTTGGTTGTACACTGACAGACAGTCCTTCCCAATAGAACTAATAGGAATTAATGCCTCTCTAGAAGCCACATAGAACCAATCAGCTCCCTCCCTCACTGAAGCTCTTTGGAGATTTGAAGGCAGTAGTAAACAATTTGCAACATACTAACCTATTTCCTTACTATGGCCAAAAATACCAATAAAAATGAAACTCTCGGACACACTACTTCATAGTGTGGATTTTAATCCACTATTTGGCCATTATCCTATCCCAGTTTTATTACTTTGACTCCTTGATGAAATAATTGGGGACAACTGTAGAGAAGTTCTCTGGAAGTTAACGCCAGCGGATTTCTGAAGCGCCAACATGAGCTGTGTTGGTCCTTCCCATCAGCTGTCGAGTTCCCAGCTGCCTAGTTCTTCCTGTCTCTGCACCCTGCACTGCCTACCTCCTCTCCTTGGCTGTCTCACTTGTCTCTGTTCTCCCATTATCTGTGTTTGAGACTGGGTGATGGCCAGGTCTGCAGGAGAGTGGCAGAAGGAAGAAAACAGAAGAGGATGTCATGGTTATGCCCAACACAGAGACTCAGCCACTGAGTTCCTGAGGCCTGATCTAGCACCGTGTGTTAAGAGGCTAAATCCTGGAGTCATAGCTTTTGGTTGTGAACCCTGGCTCCCCCATTCACTGCAGGGGGAACTTTGGGCAAGACCCTTAACCTACCAGAGCCTCAGTTTCTTCATCTGTGAACCCAGGAGTAATAATAGTAACTAACCTCTATGAAATGAAAAGATAATCTGTGGAATATACTTGATACAGTGCCTGGTATGCAGCTAGTGCCTAATCAGAATTAGCTCTTATTATAACCACAGTCCCCTCCCCACCCCCTTCCAAAGCTATCCCTGGTCCACAAGCCCGTCACCTAACTCTCTCCTAATCTAAGCTCCGACACGGGCTGCCGGACATTACAGACCCTACCTCCTGCCAGTCTCTTTTCTCTGCACCTGGCCAGTGCTTAGCTTAGACTCACCTGGGCTCACAGTGCCTCCCAAAGGCACTGAGAAAAAAAACCATTAATATTAGCTGTTGTTCCACTGGTTGGCATGGGTTGTGAGGGAAAACTAGCAGCAAATATCTTGCTCCTGATTAGAGTTTTTCTTTGCTGCTTTCAGTTTCCTTTCTCAAGGGGCCACATGAAATTGAACTCAAAACTATGATTTGCCCTTCCCTTAAAGCATGCCAGGAAAATCATTACATTTTCAGCAGGCGCTGGAGGATAGGCTGTTTCCCTTTCCATTTAACAAACATTAAATTTTTGACCAGGGTTCCTTGAACTTCACACACTAGCAATGTGGCCTTTATTTTACTGACTTCTTCATTTTATTTTATCAGTACTGCCAGTAAAACTCTGGGAATGTGATCTGTTAGGTCCTGTCTTCGCCAGCCAAGATTTAAAGGGTGCAACAGATTGAAGATTTTCAAACTACAGAACAGTGCTTTCAATATGTGTTCAGTGGGCAACAAAATGCTTCCTTTGTGGGAGTCCATGCTCCCTCTCTTGGGTTAATGGATGACTTTCCAGGGATGCTGCATAAAAAAGTGATTTAAAAAAATGGCTGTAGGCAGCTGTGAGATAGATTCTTCAACCCAGTATACATTTTATTGCTATTTAAAAACAAGTTTAAATTAGATCCTATAACCATTATGCAACCATGTTCCCTGAAGTCTGTACATACGTCCCTCACTAGTGAGGGGAAAAGGAAGTTGGTAAATTAAGTGTTGCTGGACAGTTCTCAGGTACCCCGACTGTCAGAACAGTTTCACGTGGGTCATATTTAAATCCTCCATTTGATTATTGCTATGGGTTTATTCAGTGTGGCTTCAAAGCAAGCAGAAAAAAAAATTTAAAAAAAGAGCCAAAAGCAACAAAGAGCCACCAACCGAGGAGAAAAAATGCTTGGCTCCAAGAACTCAGTACCAGTATAAATAAAACAAACTCCAATGCTTCCAATGCTTTCTCACTTCAAATTACATCCCTTGATTTTTCCACTCTGATTTTCATTCACTTGACTGTAAGTGAGTAAATCTTTCCTAGGATCAGTGTAGGCTTGCACTCCTTTGTCCGAAGACATGAATTTACCTTGCCTGCACAGACATGTAGATATATCCACAAATATACTTGCAGAAACTGCATGAAGTGGTCCCCAGAAGCTAAATCTGGCCTTAATATATAAGAGGATGTAAATTCTATATTCACTCCCTAGAAAGTAGAGTACATCTTCTAAATTCGCGATCTAAGGTAGAGTTTATCTTCTTTGAGTTGAGTTTTTACTGTTTCCTACAGTAGTGATGGGTTTGTCACTGGTCCATTGCTGGGTAGTCAATAGTTCAATATGTTGTATTGCAGCAAGGACTAGTCCTGCAATATTAACTTGATAACACCATTTTGGAACCAACTATGCCAACCACCTTAAGAAAATTAACACATACACTTACAAACAGCTTAACGCTGTCCTGGAATAGACATTACGTCATTCCCTTTCACTTGATTCATTCATTCGTTTATTCATCAAACAAGTGTTAATTTATTCATTACTAATACAGACTCGAAAATATGAGCAACACATTTACTGTTTCTAAAATTCATGTGCTGAATTTCCCTTGTCCTTGAGTTATATGGATACCAGGATAAAACAAAATCAATATTTGTTCCAGTCATCCTGCATAAATATTTTTCCAGACAAATGGCTATTTACCATATTGAATCAACATAGACCGCTGGAATATAAAAAGGTTATTTGGAAAGTGTTTTTTCCTCCATGGGTCTGGGAACATAGGCTAGGAGGCTACCCCAAAGGGTGGGGAGCAGACCTTGATGGTGTGCCTATCATGGTGAACCACTATTCCGACATTTACACACGTGATAGCATTTCATCCTCATAAACACCCTAAGAGATAGCTATTCTCACCTCATTTCACAGAGGAGAAAACTGGGATCCCAAAAGGCTAAGTAATTCTGTTCTTAAAACGTTCTGCTCTCTGATTTCAATGACACAACATTTTCCTGATTTTCCCCCTTTCTTCTCCTTCTCAGTCTTTTAGCTTTTTCTCCTCCTCCCCTTTATCTGTGACTCAATTTTGAACACTATCTACATTCGCTGGTGATCTCATCTGGTACAATGGCTTTAAATACCACCCATGTGCTCATGACTCTCCAGTGTGTCTCTCCAGCCCAAACCTCTCCCATTACCATCAGACTTGTGTATCCAACTGCCTCCTTGAAATTTACACCTGGATAACGAGTGAGCATCTCTGATTTAGTATGCCTAGTTTGGAGATCTTGAGTTTTTCTCTTCGTATCTCTTTCTCCTTGCATTTGAACCACTTAGATAAATGACTCCACCATTTACCCAATCGCTTATATAAATAACCGACGACTCATTTTTTTCATTACTATTCTCCCAATTTATAACAAACATATATTGCAAAATCTCTTTGCATTTCTTCATCTCCACCTTTGTGTAAGCTGATGCAAAATGTCCCTGACTCTCAGAAACTCCCTATTTACCTTCCTCCATCTCCTCACCTAGAATGTAAATCTGATGGCCGGAGCTGCTGTAACCAGTTGTGAGAATGAGAAAAAAGGGACTACAGTCACAGAGACATTAGCCCTGATACACTAAGTCCAAAAGTTACATCTCTCACATCATATTCTAAGGGAAAATAACTCTTGTTTCATCCAAAGTGGTCTGATTTTTGTCTATTACTAGCAGGTGAAAACATTTCTAAGGGATATGTATTTTCCCTCCACTCCCATCAATCTATATTCACACAGCAGCCATAGGGGTATTTTTTCTAAAAAAACATAAGCTAGGTTTGTTCAGAACCAAATATTTACTGAGCAAATACTACGTGCTATGAATGCCTCTATAGGTGTACCTAAAAGTAACACCAGTGAAGCAAACAAAATTTGGACCCTCTAGTGAGCAAAACAAAGACCCTTGCCTTTGTGGAGACAATCAATATGATAAATAAACAAATTACATAGTATGTTAGAAGATGATATGCGCTATATGTGGGGGAAAAAGAAAAATAAATCAGTATAAAGTTGGGCAGAAGTGAGGGATGCAATTTTAAACAATGTGGCCAGGATAGGCTTCAATGAGAAGGTGACATCTGAGAAAAGACATGAAAGACCTAGGTGATCATGGAGATAGTAAAAAGAGATTGTATCCCAGATACGTTCTGAAAAGAAAAATCAAAGGGATTTACTGATGGATTGGCTGTGTGCTATAAGACATAGAGACAAGTCAAACATAACTTCTAGATTTTTGTTTGCACAATTGGAAAGATGGAGTTGCCATTGCTGAGACAAGGAAGGCTAAGTGCATAGCAGATCTGTGGTATGACATAGACATCTCAGAGGCATGTTGATTTTTAGACATCTACCAAACATTTGAGAAGAGATGATGTTGAATAAGCAGTTGAAAGTGTGAGTCAAGAGTTCAGCTAACAGGACTGCACTGCAGGTATGAAGTTGTGGGTCATGGCCTATATGATATTTAAAGCCATGAGATTGTATGAAATTACTAAGATAGTGAGGGTAATTTGAGATAAACAAAGAAGCAGTGTCCTAGAACAGATGCATTATAACATCAATAAGTTGCAGAGGAGAGAAACCAGTGGAGGAGACTGAAAAGAAGCAACCACTGAAATACGAGGAAAACCAAGAAACTGAGGTGAACTAGAAGCCAAATGAAGAAAGTGTTTTAAGGAAGAGAGAGTGATCACTGCTACTGATTATCAAATAATATGAGGACTCAGAACTGATCATTGAGTTTAGCAGCATTGAGGTCATTGGTGACCTGACAAGAAGAGTTTTCATGAATTGTAACGAAAGCTTGATTGGAATGGGTTTAAGAGAGAGTGGGAAGACAGCTCCTTTGAAGAGTTTTACTGCAAAGGCAAGAAAAATATTTGAGTGTATCTGGGGGAGTTTCTTTTAAAAGCTGGGAAAATTGACAAGTTTGTTAAATGATGAGAATGATCAAGTAAAGATGTAAACATGGATGATGTAGGAGAAAGGGAGACACTTGTTAGAGTGATGTCCTCTAAATGAAGAGATTTGCTTTATATCATGTGGTTTTAACGCATGTCCACCCACAAGCCTAAAATAAAAGTAAAAAAATAACAAGCAAACAAAAAAACCTTGCCCATAATACTTTGACACTATTTCCTTCAATAGGTGGAGTTTAATTGTGTTTCCTCTGAATACGGGCTGGTTTTAGTGAACCGCTTTTAACAAATGGAATGTGACAGAGTGGTGTGTGTGACTTCTGCGACTTGGTCATAAAAGGCATTGTGGCTTCCCTCTTGCTCTCTCGGATCACTTTGTTTGAGGGAAACCAGCTGCCATGCTGTAAGGACCCTCAAGCAGCCCTGTGGAGAGGTTCCTCTGGTGAGGAACTGGGGCCTCCTACCAATAGCCCTGTGAGTGCACCATCTTGGAAGCAGATCTTCCAGAACCAGTCAAGCCTCCAATGGTTAAAGCCCAAGCTGACATCTTCACAGAAACCTCATGAAAGACTGTGAGCCAGAACCATCAGTTAAGTTGCTCCTTCACTTCTGCCGCATAAAAATTGTGGGATGATATATGCTTATTGTTTTAAGCCACTAAATGTTGGGGTAATTGGGAACCCAAGATAGTTTATTTACAGCAACAGATAGGAAGATAGAGTACATGAGGACACTGTGGTGGATGAGTAAAAGTGGAATGAAGAATTTGTGGAGATTCCCCTCAAATTGCTTCAGCTTTCTCAGTGACACAGGAAGCAAGATCAATAGCTGAGAGTTGAGGGTAAAGATGGAAAAAGAAGTGTTGGAGGAGTGAGGAGAAAGGAAAAGTAAAATAGTTGTATTGGGTACAGATGGGGGACAGATAGAATGAACAAGGCAAATGTAGTAGGATGGTAGGCCATATTAAGGACACAAAGGAAGTATGTCTGCAGTCATCATATAAAATGAGACAGTGTGTTGTGTGCTTTGCTTCGGCAATTTCAACTGCATTCGTGCAGAAGCAGAGTAGGTGGGGAGTTGGATTAAACCAGGGATGTACTTTTGCCAAGTGAGTACTATATGACACAAAATAGGGCAAGGTGTATGCAAAGGAGTGTTTATACAAATCAGTCTAATTGCCTTCTTAAAAATCATTTTGGTGTTCTGCTTCCAGGAAGATGGAGTAAACATATTTTGCCCTTTTCCTCCTGTTAAGAACAACTAAGATGCCTGGACATTATATATAAAACAAACACAAAAAGAATCTGAAAGGTGGAGAGAAGAAAGCAGATTGTCAAGGGACTTCAGAACCCTAGAAATGAACTTGTGGTGAGTTTTCTGGGTTTTCCTGTTGCTTCACATATACCAGACTTGTAGCTGAAGAAGATAGCAATATGGAAATGCCAACAACAAGAGCAGACAAAAAACGTCCCAACAAAATCCTGCTCTCTCTAGTCAAAGGATCAGGAAAGGGAAGTCTAGCAAGACGAAAGCGATTAGACAATAAATAATCTACCCTCACATAGCTGTAAAAACACAGCATCTCTCCATACATACTGGGGTAGTGTCAGAGAAAGCCAGGTAGGGAGTTAGGACTTTCATTTCTGCTGGCCAGTTTTGAGGTTTGCCCTTCTCGCAATGTCAGTGGAAACCACCTGAGACACCTCAGCAGTAAAAAGTCATTCCTTTCTCTCTCTACTAGGGTAGAGAGCCAGGACTTTCATGATTATCCGATGGTAATGAAGCCATACCCACTGCAATGTCGGTGGAGACTACTTGGGGAACCAGATCCCCATTGCTACCCAGCAGTAACAAGGAGCACCTTCCCTTGAGAGTGAGTGGTCAACATCAGCCCGAACATATTAATATGTTACACCAAATACAAATAATCTAAATATACCAATTTAAGCAAGTAAAAGTAAAAAGATGGAAAAAGACATATCATGCAAACATTAATCAAAGGAAAGCAGGAGTGGCTCTATTAACATGAGATAAAGTAGACTCCAGAGTGAAGAAAATGACCAGAGACAGAGAGGGATATTTTATAATGATAAAAGGGTCAATCCACCAAGAAGACGTAGCAATCCTAAAAACGTATGCACCCAACAACAGAGCTGTAAAATATGTGAAGCAAAAACTGCAAAATATGTGAAACAAAAATTGATAGGACTGAAAGGAGGAATAGACAAATCCACAATCATGGTTGAAAAGTTTGATACTCCTTTCTCAACAATTAGCAGAATACCTAGACAGAAATCAGCAAGGACATAGAAAACTCAACACTGCTGAGCACCAGGATTGGATCAACATCCATAGAACCCTTCATCCAATAATAGCCGTGTCCATGGAATATATGTGAGATAGACTCTATCTTGGGCCATAAAACAAACCTTAATGAATTTAAAAGAATGAAAAGGATATAGTGTGTTTTTCAACTACATTGAAATAAAAATAGAAATCAATAAAAAAGATAAGAGGAAAATCTCTAAACACATGGAAACTAAATAATCTATGGGTCACACAGGAAGTCTCAAAGGAAATAAAGAAAACTAACTAAATGCAAGTCAAATTACAATGTATCAAAATTTGTGGGACACAGCTAATGCAGTACTGAGAGGGAAATTTGTAACACTGAATGTGTACATTAAAAAAAGGAAAACTCTTAAATCCATAATCTAAGCTCCTATTTCAAGAACCTAAAAAAATTACAAAATAAACCGAAACAAAGAGAAGGAATAAAATGAGATTAGAATACAAATCGATAAAATTGAAAACAGAAAGTAGTAAAAAATCAGTGAAACAGAGAACTGGCTCTTTGAAAAGATCAATAAAATGGACAAACATCTTGCAAAACTGACAAAGACATAAAGAGAAAACACACAAATTCCCAACATTAGGAAGAAAACAGGCTATCTTTATTGACCCTGAACACATCAAAAGGATAATAAAGGAATACTATGAATAACTCTACACACATATACCTGAAAATGTAGACAAAATAAACCAATTCCTGGAAAACCAAAAATGACCACAACTTACCCAACATGAAGTGGATTGTTTGAATAGCTTTATAACTACTAAGGAAATCAAATTTGTAATTTAAAAATTCCCCAGAACATCTTCAGGCCCAGATGGTTGCATCAGAGAATTCTACCATATGTTTAAAGAAGAGTTAACAACCAATTCTACACAATCTCTTTCAGAAAATAGAAAGAAAGAAAAACTTCTCTATTCACTATTTAAAAAGCTAGTATTGCCCAATATCAAAACTAGACAAAAACAGCACAAAAAAGGAAAATTACAGACCAATATTCTTTATGAGTATAGACACAAAAATCCTTAACAAACTATTAGCAAATAGAATTCAGCAACATATAAAATAAATTATATACCACAACAATGTGAGGCTTATTGCAGGAAACAAAGCTGATTTAATATTTGATAATAAGTCAACGTATTATCAGGCTAAAGAAGTAAAATTTCATGATCATATCAATCATGATAGAAAAAACATTTGACAAAATTCAATACATTCCTGATTTAAAAAAAACCTCTTAGAAAAATTGGAATAGGGAGAACTTTGTCAACACTGTAAAGAGCACCTACAAAAAAATTTATAGCCAATGTTAAATTCAGTAGTGAAAGACTGAATGTTTTCTCCCTATTATCAGGAGTTAAGCAAGACTGTTTACTCTTACTACTCATATTCAACATAGTGCTGGATGTCCTAGCTGGTATAATAAGGCAAGAAAAAGAAATAAAAGACATACAATTTGGAAAGAAACAAATAAAACTGTCCCTATTTGAAGATGACATAATAACCCACTTAGAAAATACCCAAGAATCCGCCAAAAAAAAATATATATGTAAAATCCTAGAGCTAATGAGTAAGTTCAGCAAAATATAAGATAAACATCCAAAAATTGATTGTATTTCATATATTATCAATGAACCCCTGAAGACTGAAATAAAAATACTAACATTATTTATCATTATTTAAAAACAAAAATGAAATACTTAGATGTGAATCTATAAAAACATGAATAGCACTGGTATGATGAAAACTACAAAACACTGATGAAAGAAATTTAAAAAAATGGAGAGATATACTGTGTTCATGGATTGGAAGACTCAACATATTAAAGATGTCAGTGCTCCCCAAATTGATATACAGGTTTAACACAATTTCTACTAAAATTCCAATAAGATTTTTTTGTGGATATAGTCAAGATTGTTATAAAATTTATATAAAATAAGGAAGTAGTATAGCTAAAATATTTCAAAAAAATTAAAGAAGAGCAAACAATCTACCCAATTTTGACCTATTATGTAATCAAGACTATGAGATACTGGTGAAGGGATCGACATATAGATCAATAGAACAGAACAGAAAACCCAGCAATAGACTCTTACAAATATGCCCAACTGATTTTTGACAAAGGTGCAAAAACAGTTCATCAGAGGAAAGATAAGTTTTCCAAGAAATGATGCTGAAGCAATTGGACATTCACAAACAAAAAAATGAAGCCTCACCATAAACCTCACCCATTATATAAACATTAACTCAAAATTGATCACAGACTTAAATGTAAAACATAAACTTATCCTGTTTTTTAAAATGGAAGAAAATCTTTAGGACCTTGAGCTGGACTAAGAATCTTAGACTTGACACCAAAAGTACAATTCATGAAAGGAAAAATTGATAAACTGTATTTTATCAAAATTAAAAAGTTCTGCTTTGCGAAAAACTCTGTGAAGAGTTGAAAAGATGAGTTACAGAGTGGGGGGCCATATTTGTAAACCACATATCTTATAAAGGACTAGAAGGTAGAATTTACAAAATACTCTCAAAACTCAAGAATAAAAAATTGAACAATCCAATTAGAACATGGGCAAAAGACATGACGAGACATTTCTCTGAAGAAGAGAAACAGATGGCTAATAAGCACATGAAAAGATGTTCACCATCATTAGCCATTGGGAAATGTAAATTAAAACTGTAATGAGATATTACCACATATGGGTCAGAATGGGTAAAATAAAAAATAGTAGCAACACCACGTTTTGGTGAGGATGCAGAGAAATGGAATCACTCGTACATTGCTGGTGGGAATGTAAAATGGCATAGCCACTCTGGAAAACGGTTTGGCAGTTTCTTGAAAAACTAAACATGCAACTACCTTATGACCCATCGATTGTACTCCTGTGCATTTATTCCAGAGAAATGAAGACATACAAAAACCTATACATGAATGCTTATAGAAGCTTTGTTTGTAATAGCCCTAAATTGGAAATAACTCAGTTGTCTTTTGACAGGTGAATAGTTAAACTGTGGTTCATTCTACCATGGAATATTACTCATCAATAAAAAGGGATGAACTACTGACATATACAATAAAGTGGACAACGGACTCTCCAGTGAATTATGCTTAGTGAAAAAAGTAAATCGCAAAGGTTATACTGTACAATTCAATTTATATAACATTCTGGAAATGACAAAATTATAAAAGTCTATTACAGATGTGTGGTTAACAGAAGTTAAAGAAGGAGGAAGGGAAGAAGGTGACTGGAAAGTGAAAGTGGCTATCAAAGGACAAGATGGGGAGTCCTTGTGGTGACGGAAATGTTCTGTATCTTGACTCTATCAGTGATAATGTCCTCATTGTGGCATCACTATGGATTTACAAGATGCAGCCACTGGGGGGAAAGTGGGTAAAGGGAACACCCACTCTCTCTGTATTATTTCTGACAACTGCATGTGAATTTACATTTATCTGTTAAAATGAAACATTTAATTTAAAATATTATTTGTTTTACTTCCAGTTGCTTTTAAAATAAAATGTGGCCCACAGCTGTCCACTGATCCTATCTACCTGACACTGCAATCTCTTACTGTACCACGTTTCTAACTCCAGCCACATTGTCGCTTTACTTTAATAACATTGAGCTCTCTTCTACTCCTGGTTCTTTGCATTTGCTGTTTCCTCTGCTTGAGAATGCTCTCTCCCAGTTCTTTACATGGTTCCTCATTCTGAGCCTGCAGGTCTCAACTCAAACACCGCCTGCTCAGAGAAGTCAGCCCTTACTTGCAAATCACAGGAAGGGAGAGTAGTTAAGCCCTGCAGCCTGCTGCCTGAGGGCTGAATTGCAATACCTCCATTCAATGGCCTTAAGGTCTAGGGCATCAGGCTTAACACCAGCTCTGTGTCTGTGTTCCCATCTCTAAAATGGGCACCCTGTTAGTTTCTCCTTCACAAAATTGTTATAAGAATTAAAGGGGGGCCAGGTGTGGTGGCTCATGTCTGTAATCCCAGCACTTTGGGAGGCTGAGGTGGGCGGATCACCTGAGGTTGGGAGTTCGAGACTAGCCTGACCAATATGGAGAAACCCTGTCTCTACTAAAAATACACAAATTAGCTGGGCGTGGTGGTGCATGCCTGTAATCCCAACTACTCGGAAGGCTGAGGCAGGAGAATCGCTTGAAACCTGGAGGCAGAGGTTGCAGTGAGCCGAGATCACGTCATTGCACTCCAGCCTCCAGCCTGAAACTCCGTCTCAAAAAAAAAAAAAAAAAAAAGTATTAAATGGGTTAACATAGTCATTTAAACTAGCACCTGAAATGCCATAAAGCCCACATAAGAGTTATTTACTATTATTTTAAAAACCTTCTGTAGCTACTCTCCATCTCTTTGGTTCTCAAGGTTTGATCCCTGGATCAGCAGTATCCCCATTACCTGAGAACTCGTGAAATAGGCACACTTTCAGGCCATACCGCAGACCCACTGAAACTCTGAGGATGGAGTCCAGCAATCTGTTTCAAGGAGCCCTACAGCTATGACTCTGATGCGTGCTGCTCGAGTTTGAGAGCCACTAGTTTATCTCATCTGCCTGTTTACTTCCTTAATGTTACTATCACAGGTAGATATTATCTTTTTATTTATTTACATGATTAATGCCTGCATCTCCTTCCAGAAATTAGTATTCCACGAGGGCAGACTTGTCAATCTTCTTCACTACTGTACCTCCAACTGTTGGCATAGCATCTGGCACAAAGTAAGCACTGATAAACTACTAACAAATAGACAAATGAATGAACAAACTTGGCCAAGGTCATATTGTAACCAGGTACCCTGTTTTTAAGCTTTCTTTCTGTTGCCCTTTGTGTTAAGTTCTTAGTAATGAAATAATAACCTTTATGCTCCTTTCCACCAGGCCCTCCCTTGCATTGGTAGCTTATCTAATTCTATGTTTGCTTACAAGTTCCAAAGACTGAATCTTGAGACAATCTAGGTGCCTATGGAATGCTCCCCCACCAGGAAATTGCTTCAAGGACACAGTTAATTTATAACCTGGTTGAGCCCAAGATGGCATCAGTCTATTCACCGGATGGAGCAGTAACTTAAGTCATCGGAACGAGTCATGTAGACCCGCACAGCCTCGCCCATCTTGCATGTTCTTCACCCCAAAAGCTCCTCTTTTTAACTCCTTTGCCTTTTGCTTGAAAATTTGATATGAATTCATTAAGGCAGGAGCCTGGACAGTTTCTCCACTGCTAGCTATGGAAAAATAAAGTCACTGACTTTCTATCACAACTCATCCTTGTTATTCGGTTTTGCAAGTGGCAATCAACTGAATCTCCCTTTGGTTACAATCCATTTTTTAAATAACTGAACTGATGGATGTTGACTCCAGGCTGACTTGCCCCCTCTGACACGCTGAGAGTCAATGGCACCCCAACTCCTAGTCATTACTTAGCAGTCCCAAGTTTCCCATATAGTTGTGCAAAACGGAAGTCACTAGCATGCAGAAACCCCCACTTTCAAACTGCATTTTAAATACAAATATGGCCACAACAGAGCCAGAGGTTCTTTGGTCATGGCAGTGGGCGCTTGCTCTTCCCATTGCACTGTGTTGGCCACTTCATTACTTTACTTGGGATTGTCAAAGGAGTGTTTTCCTGTCATGGTGATGGGTCATCTTTTCTCTGTGGCTGTTAGTAGCTATGGCTGGTGAAGGGTTCCCTTCTCTTTGGGGGCTGCTTTACATCTCAGTTTGGAGGCATCCCTTTTTCACCTTGGGTTTCAGTGGAGAGAAGATTCAGTACATCAGTACCCACATTCTTTCCCGTGACACTAGCATCCCTTCACTTTTCTCCTACTTCTCTGATCATTTCATCTCTGTCTCCTCTGTGGGCTTCTCTTCCTCAGCTTCTCATTGCTTCAGCTATTAGTGGCTCTCAGGGCCTGTCAGTTCCCTTTACCTGCACATTCCTAGGATGATCCCCTTCACTCCACAGCAGGATTTCCGATTTGAACCTCTCTGTTGGTACACGGACCTCAGTGTCCCAAAGGAACCTCAGCTCAGAATATCCAAGACTAAATGACTTATTTTCCTTTGCCCATTCCAATTATTCTCTTATACTGGTTAGTGACACTGCCATTGATCCTGTTATCTAAGGCAAAAATCTAGGAGTGATTCTTTGTTCCTCTCTTTATTTCACTTCCTGTGTGTTATCAGTATTCTAGTCCTTGAAATCGTACTCCTTATCATGCCTCCCACGACCCCCTTACCCCCTCTGGAGCTAATCAGGGCTGCTGAATCACGCCATGTGGCCAGCCTGGCTGCAAAGCTTCAAGGATCTCACCTGGACTGTTGTAATCATCTAATATCTTTGGGACTGGCCTTATATCTGTATAAATCCTCCACACAACCACAATATGATTAAATAATTTTTTTAAAATGCAAATTAGGCCCCTTTTGCTCCTTTGCTTAAAATGATGTTAAAGGTCACGTGTTAAAGATATGATACGAATTCCTTAGTTTGCTGTACTAGGCCCTTCATAACTTCTATGGATTGAATGTGTTCCCCAAAGATCGTGTCTTGGAAAGTTAATACAACAATGTCGGGGGTGGGGCCTATTGGGAGCTGTTTAGGTCGTACGTAAGAGCTCTGTCCTCATGAATGGATATGAGTTGTTACGGCAGGAGTGGGTTTGTTATAAAAGCAAGTTCAACCTTGTCTTGCCCTGCCTTGCTCTCTCACCCGTGTGATGCCTTTCTCTACGTTATGACAGAGCAAGAATGCCTTCACCAGATGTGGCCCCTCAATCTTGGTCTTCCCAGAGCTTTCAGTCAAATGAATTTGTATTCGCTATAAATTACTCAGCCTGTGGTATTCTGTTATAGCAGCACAAAGTAGGCTAAAACAATGATCAATCCAGATGCCTCGATCTCTGTACCTTACTTCAAAACCTGCTGCTATGGACAGAGTTGTTTTCCCCCAGCATTCATAGGCTGACATCCCAGCCCCCAGTGTGATGGTATTTGGAGATGGAGCCTTTGGGAGGTAATTAGGCCACAAGGGTGGAGCCCTCACGAATGCGATTAATACGTTTATAAGAAGAAACAGGAGAGAGCCTTCTCCTTCTCTGCCATGTAAGAACACAACAAGAAGGCGGCCATCTGCAATCCAGGAAGAGAGCTCTCATTAGGAACCGAATCACCTGGCACCCAAATCACTTCCCAGCCTCCAGAACTGCGAGAAAAGTAAATTTCTGTGGTTTAAGCCACCCTAGTCAATGGTATTTTGTTATTGCAGCATGAGGTTACTAAGATACCTGTACAACCTCCATACTAACCCTACCAGTATCATTAGCTTTTCAAAATGTTTTTGGCTGCACTGTCTCCTCAGGTAGAAATGAATATGCTCTTCTTTAAGCGCATCTGTATTGGTTAGGTTTTGCTGCACTAACAACTCCAAATTAGAATAACAAACACTTATCTCATGCTCATTATATGAAGGCTGAGGGGTGCAACTCTGCTCTGGGCTGCAGGTTGGCTACAGATTTGCTCTGCCTGCCTCTCCATCCCAGGACCCAGGCTGAAAGAACAGATGTCCCCTGAGATACACTCTTCCTTGTGGCAGATATCAGAATGCAAATAAAACGCCTAGTCAAAACACATGGTTATATTTAAAGCTTCTGTTCACTTGTGACGTACAACTTGCCTGCTCATATTTCATTGGCCACAGCAGTCCCATGGCCAAGCCGGACATCAGGGAGGTTGGGAGGTTTACCTCTAGAGAAGGGCAAAATGAATACCTGGGGAAAAAATCATACAATGTACTCCACTGCCCAACACCCGGCTCATATTTTCATTCTAGTCCCCAGAACCCTTGATTTGCTTACCTACATTTCTCCTCCTGAAAGGTAGGGCCTGATTTGTTTGGTTATTCCTTGCCAGCACTTAGTATAGTTGCTGAATGGGTAAATGAATTAATGATTGACCCAATAATTCAAAATGGAGAATGCAGGAAGAAGATTGAGTTTGTTGGAGAAGATAATTAGTTCAGTGTCAACCTCATGGGCTAAATATGTTCTGAATCGTGTCCTGGTAATGGATCTGTCATTTTTAATACAGTTACTAAGAGCTAATGTGTTCTGAGAACTCTACTATCAACTTAGAATCACTCTTTTGGAAAGGGGCTAATAGGCTTAAAACAGACTGTAATGTTTTGATTGACTGATTACCTTGATCTTAAATTTTATCAGATCTGAAATATAAATGCTGATAGTTTTACAGAGTTGGCTTTTTTATTTTCGGAAGCTGTGATTAAGACTAATTAAGTGGTTGTAAAATATAGATAGCCACAGAACTTCAAAATGACAGTAAGGGAGAATAGAAAGATAAGTGAGAGCAGAACTTTTAAAAATCCAGGGAGTCCTTGAAACTCTGGAATCGCAAAATATTGAATGTGTGCATATGTGAACTTTTCTGGAGAAACAGACTATAGTTTTACATCAGATTCTTAAAGGGGTTTATAAATTACAAAAGATTAAATACATCCATTATAACAGAGAGAGAGAAGACAGC